TTGGCGTCTCCATCTGGCAAAGCCGCTTCTCAAATCAGGGCCATGTACAACCCAGCAAAACAAGGCAGGCCAACCATTTCCTCGTTCAATCCCTTCTTGGAGTGCAAGTCCAGGAAGGCAAAGTCAAAGGGTGGAGCCTGCGCAAATCCCTTCAGTTCTTAGAACTAGAGAATAAATATTCTACATTCAACCACATTGATACCAACAAAAACCCTGATCAACAAAGAGTATCCGAGAGTTCTGAGTATCTCAGATGTTTGTTCATGTCATTTCATGTGGAGTGCCAAGGGTGCAAACGCCAATAAGTTTCTAGGTGGAACATGCTGGAAGCACCTTCGTCTCGTCCTTTAAATACTTCTCCACCTTATAGGCCGGGACCTTCTGGGTCTGGGCCAGCTCCAAAAACCTCTCGCGTTTGTGGTCGTTCAAGTACTCCTGGTAAAACTCCTGACAGTGTGGAGCCGCTAGCCACCTAGCATACAAGTGGAATTCTCACAGCTAATGTGGCTTTGAGCTGACGTCCACCCCTCACCATCCCTCGATCCAGCCTTCAACAGCCTGATCCTTTTCTGGCAAGGCTTGGTCGTTGGCATGGCGGATGGCAAAATTCGGAGATCGAGAGATCAAGATCGAATTGAAAATGACCATGTGCTGGGATGGGGCCTATGCGATTCCAGGGTTGAAGGTGGTCAAAAAAGTTCTCTTCCATTGAACCCTCCTTGAAGTTGAGCAAATGCGGTTCAAAGTTGTTCAAGACTGCAGAGCATGCTGATCTGCACATGGACTCGTTTCTATGGATGCGATGGGAAACAGAGTGCACCTGTTTCTTGTTCACCTTCAAGTGTCCAAAGTCCTAGGTCGCAACCACAGTACCAAATTGGATGTACTGGGAATTGATCTCCACTTGTGACACTGAGTCCCAGGCTTTTTTTGAGGGCCTTTTTCATGAAGATGCACCGGCCATGTAGCGCGAGCAAGATCAGGCAAAATACAAGGGCTCTAGATACTGGGTATCTTTAACGGTCCATCCTGATTGTGCCATATCGCGCCTGGCCTAACCTGCCTGGATTCTGTCAGACAATGAATCATGTGCCTCATTGCCTGCCCTCCCTTTTGAGCAGTTCAGGGACAGGGGTGAGTGCACCATGTGTCAAACATGTCTAATCAGGGATACGATGTTTGGCTTGGTGAAACATGGTCTCACACCAACGCGAAGTTAAACTTCCCAGTTGAAGCACAGGGTATATATATAGAGAGAGAGAACGTATATGATCTTATATGTTATATGATCTTATCATATCAACATCATATCAACATATCAACCATCTTCCAACAAAACAAAGGTAGCCACTCAAAAATGACAAGTGACCAGTAACAATGCTTCCTGATGGTCTGTCACACCATGCTTTTCCATGGAGTGCTGTTGGCCAAAGATGGTCAAAGGTCTTCCAAGGGCATTCGCTTCATTTTGGAGTTCAGAAGCACCTTGGCTCCTTTTCCGCAAGCCTGAGTCCTTTCACAATCACATGAAAGTGGTTCCCAAGGCAAACAACGGGTCAAGCAAGGACCTTCCCAAGTGGATGGCTCCTATGTGATGAGTTCCTCGCAGCGTGCGTGCAGCCCCCCCCAAACGATTGCCACATGTTCAGCATTGGAACCCATGGACGGAACCTGCGTCTGGAGTCCAACTCCTGGACTCCGTCAATTCTCCAGGGTTATACGTACTGTTTACAGTAACTGGATCAACTCCAGCTGAAACCCACGAACCTTTGATCTCACTGAGCTCCACATCAAGGGCCGAACCAAAACCGGCCCCCCGATGTGATCAGTCCCACGCCTCACGGTCCAAAGTGTGCATCAGTCAACTCCATCACAGGGCGCCTGGTCGACCAACGGCCCGGGATCCGGGCGAGAACGGTTCGGAGCAGCGGTCTTTGCATGGCGTGGAGCGCCGAAAACAGCGGTTCGTTGGCGGACATCGAAGATATTTGCCTTCCAAGGGCTCCAGCATGCAGCATGGTCCAAACGATATAGGAACTTTAGCTTGCACTTGGAATCAGGAAGGAAAGATCATGAAACACTTGTGAAAGGCCCGTGGGCGATGAACATTTTAAGACATCTGCTCCACTGGGTCTCCGCAATCCAGGCCAACGCGTGCCCTGGGTCTCGCCTCTATTGGCGGACTGTGTCGAGACCCCCGACTAAGAAGGTCTCAAATGGCGACGCGTCAGTCAGGTGAAGGGTATACGTACCAGTGACGAAAGCGTTGGAGAATGCCGCAAAGGAGGTGATATACACGGGCTTGTGTTCTGACCCAAGTTTTTTTTCACTTTCAACCCATGCAAATTCAGTCAGTTTGTGTCACTGCATTTGTAATGCTATCCTGTCACACCAATCTTGAAAGCTGAAATCAACGCCCGTACCAAACACGTCACTCGGAGAGTTCCATGACACTCAACATGGACATCCATGAGTGCCTGGGAGAACTGTGGTGGAAACACCTTGCAGAACTCCATCCTGCCAGGATATGATGCTCCTCACAATGAGACTAGCTGGTTCTGGGGTGGGTCTCAAGTCCCCTGTAGCTCTATTGATCATGGATGGGTTCTCAGGTCTACGGGAGCCCTTCTACAAGTGTCCCCTAAGGCACCAAACTTTACTTCAAAAACCATCCGAAATGGCATTGAAAGGTAGTGGTTGGAACACCTAGGGGGGTGTTGGGCACCCCAACTTGTGCGACACACCTGCTTCTTCCTTATCCACCTTCATCCAGATCGCCACGGGCTTAAGCTTCTTCCAGCTTCTTTTAAACCAAGCGGTCGGTGACAGCGTCTCTCACACCTCCACCGTGTGCATGCGCCGCGGTGAAAGCGAACTCCAGGGAGTCGAAGCTCAGTCTCCATCGGATCTTCGCCATGTCCTTCTTCACTTCATTTCTGGATTCTCGTAGCTCAACACGAGTTCATGATCTTCGCTTGCGCCAGATTCTGTCAGCAATAGAAGGCGCCAAAAATTATTGTATATATGTATACACAAGTCCACTCATGCATACACATGAATATATATTATATATATATATATTATATACATATATATTTATACACATAAATCCGTTCATCTGACGCGAGACCACTCACTTCTGCGCAGCCTTGGCCGCAGCTTGCCTCAGACTCGGACTCGCTGGGTCCACGGACGCCTTTGGCAACCAGAGCCCAAACACGACCCGTCTGGGACTGCCAGGACGGACTGCCGAGAAACGGCCAGGGGTGGTTGAAAAGGGGGCCTTTCTGGGGCGGCAGTCCTATGGCAGTCCCCATGAGTCGTTTCTGGGGAACAAAACGAAACCATCGCGAGGATTTCCGGTTGGAAGTGGGTCATTTAATTTGGTGACCAACCCAAAGGATACAAAAAGAACCTCTTTGTCGGTGTCGTGTCCATGGGAAAGCAGGCGCCGCCAGTTTTTCTGTTGACCACAGGACGTTTTTGCTTAGCTTTAAAATTGAAAATGGGCCGGATCCGGCCAGAGAATCCAGAAGCTTTGCCCGCTTCCACTTGCGAATGTAGACGTGGAACCTTTCCCCCCCTGTGTGTAGATGAAGCTTGTACATTTCATTGTAGTGGGAGTGGCAGGGTGCCAAAGAGGCAGAACTCAGGAGCCGATCCTTCTCAACATTCTCAAGCTATTCAAGCAGGAACCATACTCAAACAGCATGAATGACGAGGCTGGGGGCCTTCCTGAGTCTCCCCACTTCTCTGCCTTGAGCTTGGCCAACTCCTCATTGGCTTGATCCAAGTATCTATGATCTATATGAACACTTGCGAAGAAGGTGGGGACAACAAATACTATATTATTCATTCTGAGTGTGTTTCTGCAAGTTTCGATGTGTGTGTGTGTGTCTGCCCTTTGCTCTGATGGGCATGTTTGATGTTCTTTCTTACGCATCGCTCTCCAGGCGCTTCTCGTCGGGTCGCCAGCCAATCTGCGGGACCACTCTTCTTCACTGAAACGGAATCAGGGAATGCAATATAGGCTACAGTATATAGGTTGCCATCTACCAGTGACATAATATTGTTTACATATATGTATATGATGCAGTTATACTATTGATATGCTATTGAATCCTGTTGCATTTGCCAGGCCCTTTCAAATACCTGGGATCCCAGTTCATAATTCTCCCATATGTGTCATGTGAAGCATCAAAGATCTCTATGCGCATCTTTCAGGGGACCTCTGACACAGTGTGAGGCGAGAACATGAGCCCATTTGGTGAACAGGCACAAAACTACCATGTTCCTGAAAACGCTTCGACCACTGCAAGGTATTGCGGTCCTCACCAGCCTTCTCGTATGCATCGAGCTGCGCCTAGCAAAGGGTCAAAACTCAACCCTAACTGGCACTTCTGGCTGCACGGCTTTGAAGAAACAACAGGCACTGGCTTTCTCCGATTTCTTCTGCAACCATAAAACCAATGTCCAATCCTCAAGGAGTGGATGAAATACGGCAGGGGGTGAGTACGCCTGCGTGTTTTTGGCACAAACAAACACGCCAAGTTCACGTGATATCTTTCAGACACGGTGACTTCCTGCCCCACAGCAGCCACTGGTCGGACTGGGGGCGTGGAAAAGAGAAGAGAGCAGCTATCGACCCCGAGCTGATCAGATGTGTTGGAAGGCAAATTGGCCTTTCAGGAGACATGGAAAACCATGTGTGAAAGTTGGACACGGAAAAACACAGCAAAAAAGGACCACTAAGCAGTCTCAAAAAAAGACAAAAAACACGATCCAAAGAGTGCACAAAACGAGGCAAGCGTCGTGAGAATGAAAGCTGAGACTACGAGGACTCCAAGTGTGGCGGTGGTTCTGTGGGTTTTTGGATTCGCAACTGCAAATAACTTAGCACCTAGGACCCATGCCTGTGAATTCTGATGCCTGAGAATAGACATGTTCCCACTTTGGTAGTTTGGGTGACCCAAGGCACATACGCATGCACGGCACTGTTCAAACATTCTTAAAGTTTGTTGCACTTTTGTGCAACGCTCTGGAAGCGAGAAGCAGCAAACACATGTTTCCCACGGAAACCGACTCTACAATGCAAAAACATCAAATCCTGGCCATTCCATCTTCAGGCGGGGTGATATTCATCTTCTGTGCACATTGGTGTGCTCCTTGATCTTTTCATTGGTCTTCTTCGGAGGAACACGATCAAAGGCGAACCTGCGCTTTTTTTTGACGAACCTGCGTGTCCTCTCTCCGGCTAAACGCTCAAAGGAAGTCCTTCAAACGTCTGCATTGGACGGGAGGTGCAAAGGGCGCTGGCAAGGGCAGCATGGCCTGCTCAGGTCCTTTCAGATCATCGACCTGACGCGACGTCTGGACCGAACTGTCGTACAGGTCACCACTGTCGTACAGACCGAACTAACCTTTTTTTAAGGGACCACGCATCACTTTTTGGCAAACATACTTATTACATCAAACATTGACAGGAACTGTCAACAACAATCTTACAGTATACTCTGAATATGATTGAATATGTGCATTGAATATATACAATTAGTGTTTGTCTCTGCCGTTCCTTGTGGAAGGACGTTAAAGGGTCAAGCATGACATTAACCTCCGTTGAAGCCCAAGCATGATGTGCAACCATTGATCAGGTTTCCGCTGGTTGCAAGTCCTTGGTTTTGGGTACGCCAGCCAATAGGTGTTCACTCTCAAATCCCACGCACGACCACAGTTTACCACTGCACAGCTTGGCATACGTAATAGAACCCAGTAGTCTCTTGTTCCATTGTCTTCAAAGGAAAGGCTCCTCTGAGATGGCCCGTGCAGGTGCCTGCGCAGCCACTTTGGCGACCTGGAGAAAGGAAAAAAGCAGCTCCGCAAAGAAGCGCACATTAGCTATATAAACAGGGCCAACTGAGTTGATATTTATATATATATATTGATAATATAATATCGGCAATGTTTTGCACAGCTTGATAGTAGCTATGTATTTTAGCTGCTGTGAGGTAGCCAAGCGCCTAAAGTGACTTGTTTTTGAGAGATTGATCTACTGGACCCCTCCCAAGTGGCAAGCACGAGTTCCAAAATCTCAGAGCTTCCGTCGAGTATTATATCAGCTAGAGTCGTATATAGTCCTCGGACTTGCTGAACGCTTGGTTGCTGAATCGGTCAATGTCCGATGTCCATGATCTCTTCCATCAACGGGAATGCCTGCTTACCCGGTAGCACACTCACGGGACAGTTTCAGTGCTTTTGGAGCGCTCTGCCACCTCTCCACCTCTCTCTCTCTCATGTGCCCATGACAGTGGAGCTCTCTCAACAAGCGAGAGGAGACAGAAGGCTGGTTTTGACTTATTCAGGGACTCCGCTCCATGAAAAAACATGGAGGCAAGAAAGTCTGCAACCTGGACCTTTGATTTGTGGCCTCTAGCTGCTCTAGAGGCAGCTGGCCATTTGTCAGTGCACCTTTCTGGGTGCATCTCCATTGCGGTTTCATGCCTCTTCACCACTCTGACTAACTGCATGTTCCATCATTTCCCCCTGTCAAATCAATCGCCCCCCTCGAGGGTCCCATTTGTGTCCCATTTTGGTCGTCTCCGCACGCGAAGAACATGAAACAATCAAACGCCTGCCCACCTCACCCTTCATCGACGGACTCGTGGGCTTCTTGATGGACTCGGACTCGGCCGGGACTCTGTCAGCCTCATGCGACTCATGCGGCTCCTGGCAGCACGTGGCATGTCTCACGGCTGCGCTACAAGCGCACGGTTTAAGATCAAGTACATGGAATGACCAATTTCCCATGGCTTCATTCCCAACATGTGCTTCTTCTACTTCTATTCAAGTTGAGTGTAATTACTGGTAGTGTAGGAGTGCAACGGTCAACAGCTCAACCAGGGCGCAGTCCGGCCTTGCTCCCTGCAGAAACAAGAGGGGCCTCTGAAGCCTGGAACTTGACGCAGTCGCCCTAGCTAGCTATTGCCGCTCCACTTCGCCACAACTCGCATCCACGAACCCTCTCCTGAGGCGCGTGCTTCTCATGACTTTCATGAGTCGCATCCGTGTGCTTCACCTCAGACGGCGCCTTGGCTGCCACCACAGGCGCTGGCACTTCCGCTGGTGCGGCCGGCGGAACTGCTGCATCCGCCCCATCGGGGGCTTGCGCCCGGTCTTCCACAAAGTTCAACAAGTTCTTGGCCTCAAAGAATGCAAAAGTCGACGTGCTTCTGAAGTCATTCTTTTAGCATGCTATAGGTCTTCCGGTGGCAGTTGAACGTTGACATGACAAGAAAAAAGTATGAAAAAGGGAGAGGCGAGAGAGGCCAAATATATCCCAAGCTGGGGAGAGCACTCAGAATCCCCCCCGCCGTCACACGGACTGCGGGCTGCAACAGGGCCAAACTGCGGGAATGTGTCCCCATGTGTTTCCCATGCTTCCTTAGTCCAGTGATCTGCAGTTGTGTCACACCAGCACCAACTCCTGGGCCCTGCCGGTCGTTGCTCCAGGATCCGGATCGACACTGGATCGACACCGATCACCGGTCACAAGGCTCGGAGTCGAGGGGCGGTGCGTTGAGCGGTGAAGTCCTCGAAGTCCTCCGAGTTGTAGGGATGGAACCGCACCGTGGGGAAGCCTCGGCACGGTGAGGCTGAAAGCATGCCACGACATGGAGAAAGCGCCCACGTGGGGGGAGGAACTCGGATGTGTTTCTTTTTGAAAACGCCCGTGGGTTGGGTCGAACACAAAAATGGTGGGAGGTGGGGAAGGAGTCCAGTGAAAAAGCTTTGGGAATCGATGTTGGGGACATGTTGGGGCATGTTGGGGCCAAAGTATGGTGTGGTTGAAACCATCATGGAAGGAATGGTCTCGGAATAACTTGAAACACACCAGTCCAAATGGTGGGCCTACAAACCTTGGTCAAGAATTGCAGCTGGTGCTGTGACCATACAGTATCAGCAAGTGGTTGGAGAACTCCCTGTATCTCCCCCACCTCCCCAATACATCCAATACAAAGCACTATACAATATGTGCAAATATTTGGTGTATATATATATATATATTGTAGCTTACCCTATGTATATCAGTATGAACAATGTACTGTAAATTAACCATATTCAATGATCAATCTCCAGATCCTCCCAGCTCCTTCCAAACCAGCCACACATACCATCTCTCATTCCTTTTTGTCCCGATCCGGGAGGCTATGAATGCCCTGCGTCTGGCACTCACCATAGTCCTTCCCAGGCTCCCATCGTGCTCCGAAGCACTCCTTCTCCTGCACAGTTGACATCTGGCACCTGGTACACATCACCTGAAGCAAGGAATAGCACAAGTACAAAAGCTGGCTTTCGCCCCACTGGTGCAACGTTGCAGGTCATCCTGCATGTCACGGGCTGCTCCCTGAGTCCCTGAAGGGATTTTATTCATTTTTCAGAGTAGTTCATATATATATATATACACATATCACTATATAATCTCTATATATATATATGTAGCTCTTGGGGGAGACTCTTCGAGTGGAAGAAGCTCCGCCGTTTTTCACGGGCTGCTCGTCGCTCCTCCCACTCCACGTTCTTTGCACCGGGATGCTTCTCAGCCCACATGTGCTGTGCGTTCTTCCACACCTCCAGCTGGCTTTGTGGTGGGGCTGATCGGCACAGCTGGTGAAAACCGTTGTAGCCTCTGAGTCGACCACGTTCCCCCTATATAAATGAGCAAAATGAGCCAACGGCCACCAACAAATACCTTCCAAAATCTAGGGAGAGTCTTTATGGATAGGTCTTCTGGTGTTGCTGGGGCGTTTGCCTGCCTATTCGGCTATTCAAAAGTTTGTGGGTGCTCCTTCTTCGCTTGAAGAGAGGTGGTTGAAACTGTTATGCCATTCTTCTCGCACATCTTCCCTACCGTGGCGGGTATCACGAAAAACGCACTGGCCCACAGTGGGACTCGTCCAGGCCACTGGCTTCAGGTGCTTGCAATGCACACAGTCTTGGGAGAAGTAATCCACGACCCGGCCACCACCATAGCGAACGGCCGGCTGCATGTATTGTCCATCACCCCAAGATGCACTCAAACCTGCCAGCAATCATTGGCCAAATGCGGTCAATGAACATCGGAGTCACAATCCATGGAGTCTGGCTTACAGGATCTCACCGAAGGACAAGCAAATCGCAATGTCAACACTCTCGGTACAAAACAAACCATACATGCAAAACAACAGCATGTGGAAACAAGTGTATATATATATATATATCTACAGTACTTGCAACAGCACTGGGTATTTCATCTTTCATAGAACATGCATGAACATCATGAGTTATCAAATGTAGGGATCTTATAACCGATCTTATCTCAAACGGTGGAATCCAAGCGATCGGCGAGCGTTGCCGAACGCTCGCCTCGCCTGCATCTTCTTGCTCCGGCGTAAGTCCGAAGGCTGCAGTCTTCTGATCCCAAGCCTGACCAAAATTCCAGGCCCAAACTGACCAAAACCAAATCATCCTCTTTTGGAGTGGTTCTCGGAGCTTTCTCCCGTGTTTCTTCTTCCCGTCCGGACTTTCAGTGGATCCTTTGCGTCCACATGGAGAAGCCCAACCGACCCCATAGGTATCCCCCGGACCGGACCTGTCCCCCTCGATCCACTCGGCACGCCTGGGGATCCGCTCGGCTCTCGACGAAGTCCAAGAGCCGGTCCTGGAGGAGCGAAGGAGGTCCAGGGCAGGCGACCCGCACCGTTCGGTTCCGGTAAGGCCCTTTTTTGTTCAACGTTGGTTCCGTTCGGTTCGCGAAGCTTGCGAACCTTAGTATAAGTGATTAGATTCGTTAATGCCAGGAGCTACGTGAAGTAGCGAACCTTGTGTGGGCACCAACTAGCGATGGCCTCCAACCAACTCTCGGTCCAGTCTCGGTGTGTCTTCTTCTCTCACAGGAAAGGAAGGTTCCCACAGAGCAGTGGGGGTGACATGACGGGCCCGAAAACCTGGAGGGTGAAGACAGATCTTCCGCTACGCACGAAGGATTGTGTGGTCCCCTATCCAAGCTTTCTGGTAAGTCCCGGGTTCTGAGATGATCTTCCTCTATACCAGGTGGCTACTTCAGTTTGGAAGGTGGGAACTTAGGAACATAACGGATATCTCTGGACATTATACCAAGCAATAATATGCGATGTACCCAGGACTGTGCAAGACATGTTTTGTTGGTTGAATATTACTGATATTAACACCTTATAACTTATAACATCTTATAACTATTGTACTGTATAGGTATAGGTTCTAGCACCAACAATTTGGAAGAGTCTGTGAGCGGGAAATTGGGGCTTAAATTGTGGCACATCAGCCCATAGAATCAAGGACGTTCATGATGGAACTCATGGAGCTTGAACACAAATTAAAACAGGTGGCAGGCTGGCACCCCGACTGTCCGACTGCAATCTCCACAGGTCCAACGAATTATATAAACAAAACTGATTAATTCAGTTGTACTGGGACGATTAGGAACAAACAAGTCCTCTCCGAACTTCGCGACGCTCCGAAGTACTCGCATCTCTGACCAAGCTTCTTTGTCGCTATGTTCCAGGATCTCCTCACCAAACTGATCCTTCTTGCCTCAGGTCCATGGTGCACCCCGGGACCGGAGAAGCTTCTTGCTACTACTAGCGAACCTTGCTCCTAGTAGTAAGGCCAGGAGCACCTAGTAGCTTCTTGCTCCTAGTAGCGATGCCCTTGTTCCTAGTAGCTTCTTGTTGCTCAAATCCGTAAGACTTCTATTTTGTGCCAAAATCCATGTGACGCGGAATGGTCAGCGGCCTTTGTGGGATGGCCACAAATCGTGGAATGCAATACGCAACAAGGCCCAGAAGGGGTTGTTGTGATAATTCGGATTAAATTGGTATATATATATATATAAGTATAAGTGGTGATAAAACATCATGCTGCATGCTTGTCTGACTCTTAAATCAATGGGAGTAGCAAAGTGGTCCAAGACTCTTGTGAGAGAGCACTCTACCACGCACAACATACAAGAGTACACACTCGGGTCCCACAACTCACATCGTACCTGGCAATATTTGGGTGTGTATCAACTAAGGGAGACCTCCCAGTTCGACCCAGAAGGAAACTGGACCCCAAACCGGCTGGTCGGGTTGGGTCGGCTCCGCTACGAAACCGACGCGTGACCGGAGCGGGAGACCAAGTGACCGTAGTAGTACTTGATGGTGGGAAACGACTCGATGCCTTCCTCCTGGCACTCCTTGAAGTCTTTCCCTTTCTTCCAATCTGTGGTGTAGCATTCCTGTCACTGGGTGAAGCACAAACATCTAAATTCCGTCATTAAGCGCTTTCTCTCCACCTAACACAACAATCAACCCACAAGAGCAAGCTTGTCTTCCAAGCCCACTTCGCGGGTTGCCATTTTACTTTGGGGGAAAATATGGGCCATAATGGGCCATAATTATCCAAAGTAAATCTTCTCAAGACTCAAGACCTTGGCACACATGGCAGCGCCCTGCATCAACTCGCCAAGCAAAGCCTCCCCGAGATGTCTGTTAACAGTACACCGTATATTACAGGTGTCCATATCGAATTCTCTCAAACTTGCCAAGCAAACCCCTTTGCACAGCTCACCCAAATGACATCGAAAGGGCACATCACCACACTGCTCTCTCCAAAAGTTGCTCCTTCTGCTGCCAAATCAACTTTGCATCATGGTTGGCTGCTTTCCAATCCTCGCAGGGCCCATTTTCTTGCAAACCATCGGGGGGTAGATTTCCCCAACGAAAAACACACGAAAACCCTCCCCAAAGAAACGCGTGCCACAATGGCATACTACGATATTTTTAGCCAATGACACTCATCACAAACCACAAACCAACCACCAGGACCCACAGCTTTGATGGATCTCACAGGGTCTGCCAGCTTCGATCGTGCCGACTTCGAGTGGAAACTTGGCTCGTCTCCTTCTCTGCCGACTTCCAGATTGGCTCTAAGGCCTGGCTATGTGGACAATCCTTGGCATAGAACTCCACCACACGCTGGGCCTCGACGCTGTCCTTCAGTTTTTTTGCGGTCAACACTGGCGCACTGTTGGAAGGATCGACCTCACAGGGTTCAACGACTTCTGTTTGGAAGTCCTCTGGCGCCCGTGCACCCAGCAACCAAGTGAAGGATGAACTACGGTCATAATTCTGAATTTATCCGAATTGGATTATAGGCTATGGGACTGGGTAACTGACTGGCTATATACTATAGGAAACATAAGGGGAACTCACAGAGTAGCAGTGACGACTCTTTCTTTTCTCCAAGAATGAAAGGAGTCTGTGATCAAGCTGCACTTGTCACGCTCTTAAGAGACATGAACAGTTAAAGAGTAGTGTTATGAAATAACACTGGGTATTAGTCGTGGTAAGTACACACAGACCAGCTTGGAAAGTCATCTTTGATGAACTTAACATACCACCCACTGTATTCAATCACCCACTGTCCATGTACTCCAAAAAGCGGGAAAGGTGTGCAGGGTGACACACGGACCGGAGTGGATCCGGGTAGCTAACAGCTAACCTCTGACACATCCCAAGGTTGTGATCTGGTCCAAGAATCACAAACCCCATCTCGTGATAGGCCATCAGAGGGGTTACTCTCAGAGTCTATCCACTCGATCCAAACACGAATTTGAAATCTCTGACACAAGAAATGTGCGACCTGAACGAGGGTATGGACATCGATCTGGGAGCTGGAGCCACGAATAAGTGATGCAACAGCTGCTTCATTATCGATAAACCATAAAATATCCTGGTGGCTCAAGGTGGTTCCATGAAACCATGGCACTAAGAGCCCACACAGGGTTTTCGCCGGGATAGATTTGTTGCGCGCGGTCTTCCCATGTCTGAATCACCTCCGGGGGGACGACACAGGTCACCCCTTGTGGGCGAGTCGACTGGCCAAAAACAACCCAGCCAACTCGGAGGACGTCATGCTCAAATGAAGCATCGGAGTAAACAAGGACTGGTTGGCGAGGGAGAGCCGTGACAGCAACAACACGGGGCCCTGGGCAGGTTACCAAAGCTGCCAAGAGCTGAAGGGTAACAGCGTCCTCAGGAGAAAGATTAGGGGTGTCAGCGTGCTGCAGTGCGGAAGCGTAGGTCCAGCGATCCTACCTGCTTGACCAGCGCACATGCTAAACATCCAGTTCAGGTCACCTCTAAGCTTGCCAGCGTCATCCGGAGAAATGCTATTTGTGGTCAGGGCAAGGTGAAGCTTAGCTAACACCTTACGCTGAGTGGTGAACTTAGGTTGAAACCGGATAGAGCCCGAGGGCACAAAATCTCCAACATGTACGGAGGTACCAAGATAGTGGCGGTTACTACCTGGGGCAAATGACTTTGCTGCTTGCGGTGGTGCTCCCATGAATTGAAACACGAGTTGGAGTCCGCGTTGCGAAACATCCGCATGGTGAACAAAATCAACCGCAAGTTCATCATCAAAGTAAGCGGCACAAAAGGACAATGTACAGCGTCGTGCGATCGCAACACCCAACTGGGGGAAGCGGTTGAAACTGACAACTGCACTCTCTAGTCCGTAGGCCAGCCCGTACATAGTAAACCGCCAGCCTTCGTCAGGGACGAAGATAGCCACATTGGAGAACCGCAGGTGGTCATCTTGGACTGGGAGGCCTCGATAGGCGTCAGGCAAGTCATCAGTGCCTAACCTCAAATCCAGCCAGTCTGGTGGGTCACACCTATGAGTCTCCAAGGCGGTATTGACCATGCGAGCTACTGATGCAACAAAATCAACGTTAACGGTCGAGATAGTCTCCTGCATGGAGGTGTGGGTATTGTGGCCACTCTTGCGGGCGTTATCAATGACCCGCTGTTTACCATCTGGTTGAATAATAAGAAAACGCTCCACAGCGCGCCAGCCACCAATACCAAACTGATCATTCATAGCCTGCATAGTTCGCAGTGGGCTGCAAAAACCTTTAAGGATCTCCTCCTGAGTGATGGCCAAAATTTCTGGGGCATGAAGAGGGGGCCGACTACGGATCAACCGCTGTACTTCCGCTTCAGCTGACGGACCCAGCCATTCAGCCAAAGGGAGTTTGTCAGCCTGTTGGATACCCCGAAACACCCCTGACGGCGGAAGGGACCCCACAATAGCAAACCCCTGGACAAGTTGGCCGGCCATGTCACGGTCCGGCCACCTCAGAAGGCATGCCATGGTTGCCACAAAAGCAGGCTGCTTAGAGTGCGCTACTTTGTTGGCACTAGTGCACCTGACCGCCGCAAGACACGGATTCAATATCTGCACAGCTTTTTCCACAGCTTTCAAAGTGCGCCGCAGCCTTTGGCTGTATACGGGGAGAAACTGCTGCCAAACA